GAGGATCTATTAGCAAAAATAGAATATAATATTAATAGGTATGATTTCATTAGTGTTTATTTACCTGGAAATAAGAATAGTTTTGTTTTTGTTACCTAAGAATGAGCTGTTCTTATCAACGAAGGGAGCTGGTCCTTCCACCATGTTGAACCACTATGTTTCTACAGTAGCCCAGAATGGACAAATTAGCCCTTTCACAGCAGACATTAATTTCATAGCTTTTCCTACTAAAAGTTATGAAATTAATAATGGATCTGTTCTATTCAAGTGTATAATAATAATGATGGTGTGGAGAGCTTGTCTATGTTCCCATGGTTTAAAGTCCCCTAACCCCCTAACCATAACCCTGGAACTGGGACCCTGGAAAGCAGCTGACAAACAAATAATTGTATTATTTACACCTGTGTTTTTCCTACTGTGACATCTCAAGATCACAATCTAACCTGGACACTGGCGTCACTTAAAGTTCAGGTTTCTGTAGGTGGGGAAGTAACTAATTTTATTTATTAAAAAGTGGTGATAGAAATAGTAGTTTGATCAAATAATATCTTAACTCCACTTACAGTACTTCTTCTGGATCTTTCAACTGCATCTCACATTGAGGATGAGATGATGATGGAAAACTGTGGACCTTCAGTTACGAAAGCTTTATCAAACTGATTTACTGTTTTATATACGTTGCTCATAGCAGTCGTCTTAATGTAAGATATCTGGTCCCTTTCTGTCATATATGAGCTTTTCCTATTGCAGACTTTTAGAAAGATTTTTGCTGTTTTTCATTGATTTGTTGTTGTTTGGTTTTTGTTACCAGGCCACCAACAGACATTTCCCTCAGACTGTGACAGGAGCCTACCTGAGTGGGGTCAGAGAGGCCAGCAAGATGTCTGTTATGTAAACTCTGTCATTTCCAGAGCACTCAAAAACACCAGCATGGACACACGGGTGGCACTGAGCAACAGACCGTTAAACAACTCGCACTGCGTTACCTGAATTGCTCCACTTGAAAAGATATTTCACTGTACTGTGACGTGTCACATCAGCAAGACGCTGTTAGTCACTTTCCAATAGCGGGGTCAAGTAGCGCTCTCCAGGGCCTGGCTCTACATATTTAACACAAAAGAAGTTAAAGTGCTTTTTTTATTTATGTCAAAAATCCAGCTGGCAAATTTGTTTGTTGGCGACAAGATGCAAAAACCTTAATAGCAAGGCATGAATAATGGATAATTCCTGTGCAGCTCTGCCTGAGTCCGCCGTGCTGGAAAGCAGGATGACGTTATCTTACGTTTGAGTTTAATGAGTGGTGTATGTAGCACTTGTGTGAGATTAGGGTGCATGAAACATTGGTAAACTCTCAGTCGTCTAATCGTGATTAATCAAGATTTAATCTCCATGGATCAAGTTTCAAGAGATTGTATCGCGGCGATATCTTAAAATATGTTCTTTGAGAGTTTCCTACCAATGTTTCACACAGATGTGAGGAATTTGTGTTGTGTTATATGTGATTTATGTGTTGGTACAAACGGTGAAGAGAAATGGAGGAAAGGTTGGATATATATATATATAGTAGGAGTACTTCTGGGATAGCACTTTTGATTTAAAACGACTATTTGATTTAAAAGCAGTAAGAAAATAAATGAATAGTTCACATGTATGACAAGTTAAATTCCCCATAGCACTAAAGATGGTCAGAAGATTGGCCCCTTACTGTCTCAGGGATGTGATCAAGACAACAACACCCAGCAGAAAATTATGGAAGAAAATAATGATTGAACAATTGTGAAGATGGTTTAAAAATAAATAATAAATGCAACCAAACAAATTAGTTTTATTAGTCCCTGAACAATAAAGTTCCTGAGGTTTGGGTACGGGGAACAGCACAACAATGTCCTCACTTTGTTTAATTAATGTTAACTAATGAAGCTTTACATGTAAGACCTCATTTCACTGTCTTCATCGGTGCATCTAGATGATCATGTCCTGTTTGTCCAACATTACAGTGCTTGAATATTTATCTGTAATAAACTGAGCTATCAACTGCCATATTGATCGATTCACTCAATGAATATTTGGCTGATTTATCTTCCTCAAGTCAGTAACTCAAATCAGCGTCAGTATATTTATGGATAAAGATTTATGTCTATTCTGTAAAGAACACTCTAATTGATTAACTCTCCACTACAGAGAACTGTATTGACTAAAGATGAGTTGGGTGGAAACGAGTAGTCAATTAATCAATTAGTTGATAATTAATGAATCTTTTTAGCCATTTTTTAAAGCAAAAATACCCCAAATTTGCTGGTTTCAGCATTTCAAATGTGAATAGTATCATAATCTTTAGTCTTGCATCATAGTAAATATTTTGGGGATTTTGACTGGACTAAACAAGCAATTTGAAGGCGTCACTTATGGCTGAGAACTTGTGACAAATGACTAAATTATTGATTAATTAGCAGATAAAGATAAAGAAAATAAGTTAAATTCAGTAGCTGTTCTGTGACTTGATTGTGTCACACAAACAAGCAGTTGACCAGACACACTAACCTCAAAGTATTTAACTCGCTTTAGCTTTTAGATTTCATTGTTTTGAAATGTGAAAATGTTTGCAAATACATGTTCAGGTCTGTTTGTTTGAAAGTAATATAAGATGGCAAATTAATTCTATATATTAATGAATCATAGAGTTTAGGGGATATCCAATTCAGAATGTAGCAGTAATATATGAGCTACATAATCAGGGATTGGATGTCTCCTTCCTTTGGGTTTCTGCACATGTAGGAGTGGATGGAAAGTAGAAGGTGGATGTATTGGCAAAACAATCCAGAAAACTACATACAAGTACCATTAAGTAAAGCAGAAGTTTAAAGGATCGTATAGGATCATATATGCAATACTTGGCAGGAATACTGGGAGTTATGTGACACACCTTTATATCTTTATAATGTATA